TTAAATCCCAGCTCTACCTCTTCCTGGAGCCCAGCGGACTTAGGTTAAATCCCAGCTCTACCTCTTCCTGGAGCCCAGTGGACTTAGGTTAAATCCCAGCTCTACCTCTTCCTGGAGCCCAGTGGACTTAGGTTAAATCCCAGCTCTACCTCTTCCTACCTGGTGACTGGACAAGTTCTTGGTGTCTATGATACTCTCAACAAAATCAGTTAAATCTCAAACCATTGTTTCCTGAGTATATATGACCAAAGAATTCTTTTTTTTTGAGAGTCTCACTATGTCGCCCTTGGTAGAATGCCGTGGCCTCACAGCTCACAGCAACCTCAAACTCTTGGGCTTAAGGGATTCTCTTGCCTCCCAAGTAGCTGGAACTACAGGCGCAGAATTCGTTTTACAAAATTGAAGAATAACTATTCATATATCACAAGATAACAGTATTCCTAGAAATGTTTGGGTATTGTAGCTTGCTGCTAGTTTCTCTGTTAACAAAGAATTTTCACTCACCCACACTATTTTGAAAATTATAGAATCTATTAAAAATTCTTCTAAATCCTTTAAATTCAAACTGCTACTTTTTGAGTAGCAATTCTCATAAATGCCTATCATAAATCAAAACAAACACTAGAAAACACAACACATACTCTATACTCTTACTATACTAAGAGTAACATTGGGGCTTGGGAGTATGATTAGCTTATTTGCAGTAGGAACTCAGATACCCTTACTTCATGAATTAATGTTTCTTATGTCACTAATGCAGGACTGGCAGCAAAGAGATGAATTACTTTTCTCTTTGACTAACATGATGTTAGATGTTAGTTCATTCAGCCTGAATAAGCAGAATTAACAGAATGTCCTTAGTAGATTTTATTAATTATGTAGCAGTAACCAAGAGGCATTTTTAGATCCAAGACCAGGGAGATACAGAACAAAATGACCTATATTTGTACGATACTGATATTCTGCTCAAACAAAGGAAACTAATTCAGAAGTATGCTTACGTTTTTATGGAAGAAAGAAAAAAGTAAAATTACGTGTAAATCCTAGCTTACTTAATTTATAATCTAAATCTCAAGTTCATAGGGTACTGTTATAGTCTTAAAAATATATGGCAATATTTTATTGAAAAGTGAAATACATCCATTTAAAATATCTGAAATCCAAAATGTACATATATCTTATGCCACAGGTAAGGGTGGCGGTTTTTAACAAGATGGGATAAACAATACACTTAAAAGCCGTAACTTAACTTCCTCCTTTTGAACTAGAGCCTTTTGGGTATTTTGTTTGTTTTATCAGGGAGTGGAAAGATGTAAATTCAGATACCATACATTAATTAACAAAATAATTTTGTGACAAATTTAATTCAATGCTTATCACCTTTTTATAATTAGTTCTTACTTATAAATGTCTATTTTCATATATTTAACTATTTTATGGTAAAACACATTGTATATCATAATTAGATGCAAACTTTACCTCCAATGCTGTATTGAATTTGTCCATTTTTCCAAACGACCAAAATTCTGTGATGTCCAGTGTCTGCTATTACCAATCTTTTAGTAACATGGTCTACTGTTATTTTGCCAGGAAACAGCAATGGTGAAGGTGGCAAAGAATCTTTATACAGTTTTATGCCAATTTTATTGTCTTTAATCTGTCCCCTGTCTTGGTAATACTTTAAAGCTATTGAAGTATATAAAAATAATTTATCTTTGTGTCCCTCGCCAATCAAAGAAAATAACATGTTTCCACGGGGTCCAAGTATGACCAGAGTTGGCCAGCAGGAAACTTCCAGTTCTTGCCATAGGCTGGCATCTGCATCATTAACCACAGGATGGGTGATGTTGTATCGAAGAACAGCACTCTTAATGTTGTCCAGGACTTTTTCATTTGGAAACTTGGCCGAGTGAACACCAACAATCAGAAGACCATCTGAAAGGAAAGAATGATACGTTAAATGTTAAGAAATTAAAATTAAAGTTTGCAGGTAATCATCCATGCATTAGGCTTGGGGTCATTAATAAATATAAGTAGTATGCAGATTTGTTTAAAACTGGAATTACATTAGTATCTTCAACTAAATTTAAACACACATAAATTAACAAATTTAAATCTTACGACAATCTTGATTGCTTTATAAAAACACATATGATCAAATTCATGTGGCTTTTGTAGGATTAAAACTCTTTATATCCTCTCTCTAGACAAAGCTATAAGAAATAGTCTTTTGGCAGTGCCTGTGGCTCAAAGGACTAGGGTACAGGCCCCATATGCCGGAGGTGGTGGGTTCAAACCCAGCCCTGGCCAAAAGCTTCAAAAACAAAAAAAAAAGAAACAGTCTTTTTCTCGTGAAGATGTTTAAGTTATTTCCATTTGGAATAACTTGAAATTCAAAGTTGACCTGTGACTGTTTTGGGGGGGTATTGTTCTCAGAAGTTTTCTGATCTAACCTTAACATTATAGATTAAGAGGATGAATATAAGACAATTCCATACTAAAAGGTTTATGATTTATTTAAAATCCCTACTATGTAGTTCTTAGAACAAACCTTGTCTGGAACTGCTGAAAACTAAAAACAACATTATTTCTTTTACCTAATCAATTTATTATTTCAAAAAGTTACTACAAAAAAAAAAGTAAGCCATGTTAGGCTGGATTCTGAGAAAAAACTCAGTATTAACCACATCATGTAAATTTGAATTTTCCCAACACATTTATTAAAAACCAGCATGAAGAACAAATAAAACCACATAAATCAGGAGGTGTAATTCCCCAACATTTCCTCCTATTACTACAACTAACACCCAACCAAGAACACAACCCCTCTGTATGAAGCTAGTAGATTATAGAAAGGGGTCAAAACCTGGAAAAGCAAACCACTAAGGGTGAGGTGCCAATTTTTTTATTTCCCTTTTCCTGGCTTTGCCTGAGACTGGACCCCAGTTTTGGAGTCATACAGGTGGCCAAAATGCCAGTAGAAACCTCACTGCATTTCTGGCCTAAGAAACCAAGAAAACTGGACAATGTGGGAGAAACTTTAAGGGGAAGAGAGCTGAAAAAGGTGATTCCCCATTTCTGAGAATTAACACTCACAAATCTTGGTTTTACACACTTACACATGTGTGAGACAGACCCAAAAAACTGTAGCAAATGCTTGGGAACTAAGAACTGAATTAGTATGTTGACAGGAGAGAAGCTGATGGACGATGAGATAGAACTTCCTATCTGAACCAGCAGGGTTGAGTGCCTACTAACAAAGCTATCAATACTCTTAGAGGGCTGTAACAGAACTCAGAGCTCACATATCGTAACATTCCAATGTCCACATATAATCCAAAATCACCTGACACTTAAAAGACAAGGGAACATGACTTATTATCAAGGAAATTATTATCATTAGATACCAATGCCAAAATAAAGGAGATGTTTGCAATTACAAAAGACTTTAAATCACCTAAGACAAGTGTGCTCCATGAGGTAAAGAAAAGCACATACGAAATAAATGAAAAGATAAAATACATCAATAGAAACTATAAAAAATAACTAAGAATTCTAGAACCGAAAAATACCATAAATTCATGGGATGAGCTCAATGGTAAAAGGAAGATGACAGAGAATTCAGGTCAATGAATCTGAAGGTAGCTCAACAGAAATTATCCAATCTAAAGAAGACAAAGGTAGAATTATGAATAAACAATGAACAGAGCCTCAGGTACTTGTGGAATAGTTTTGAATGATAAAGCTCTTAGAGTCCCAGAAAAATAACCCCATAGGGGCAGAAAAATATTTGAATAGACCCAAAGTTCCAAAAATTTGCTTAGATAAATTTACAGAATTCTAGGTGAGCGTACAACAAATAAAATAAATTCAAAGAAAACCATGTCTAGGCACATCATAAACAAACTGCTGAACAATAAAGATTAAACACACACACATATATACGCCTTGAGAGCTGCATAAAGAAAAGCAGCCCAGTGAGTCATGGCTGTCTGGGGACTGAAGGTGAAGGTGGTGCAGGAGTAGGAAGAATTACACACTTGTTACCTTGGACGAATTACTTAACCTCTGTTTCCAAGCTCTCTCATTTGTAAAATGAGAAAAATAACAAAAATTGCCTCATAGGTCAGGCAGATTACAAGAGCTAATCTGTGCAAGCACTTAGTAGAGTACCTAGTATATAGTAAAATCTCAACAAATTCTGCTCTTGTTATTTTTTAAAGTTATAAGTAGAAAGATTAATAAAGAAAAATACAGACATTTCTAAATATCAAAAATATTGTTCAAGTAAAATAGCAAAGAAAATGCATCATATAAAGAATCCAAGTTTAATGCACATAATACTAAAACACATTATAATACTTATATATAACAACATGAATAAATATGAATGGGCTTAACTAATCTATTACAAGAAAGTATTTGAATAAGTTCTGTACATAAGAAATAACACCTATAACAAAGTGCATCAGAAAGAATAAAACTAAAGGGATAGGCAAAGGTGTACAAGGCAATTGAAAGTGGTGAGAATGCAAGGGCTGAAGATCTCTCTCAGCTTCTCCAGTTCCCGAGCGAGCAGGGAAGAGTTCAGTTTCCCTCCTTATGGGAACAGGAAGCTTCCATGAGTTCCAGTTCATCACAGTGGGTTCTAGATTATGCTTGCAGGTTCTTTCCAGTTTGCTGTTGTTCTCCTCTGCTACTTCATTTCCATCTTCCCTTTTCAACTGATGAAGGTGTTAATTCTCAACAGATCATCCTTCTATTGTAACTGTTAACTACAAACCAAAACATATGCTTGAGGACTGAGAAAATCAGGTAGATTTTAGAGGCATAGAGAAGCAACAGCCTCATGAAGACCACTTAGCTAGCTCCACAGTTGTATTAAAGTGCCTATATTAAATCTACTATTATTCCTCATTACTCCTGGTGGTTCCGCTTCTCTGACAAACCATGACTAATCCACTAAACCCTGCATCCTTGTTTTGGTCTTAGCCCTCCAACTACACGCATAAACTCTCTATTGATCCACGGCAGTCTCCCTTGTCACCCTGGCTGAATAAAGCTGTCCGTCTAGTAGAATCACCAGAAAGGGTACATATGCACATTATTCTCTGAGTTTTGGACATTCAAACTGTTTCTCTGTAGCCTTAATTCCCGAAGGACAAGTTGTTGGCTACAATCATCTTGGTTTATACTCATTAAGATTCTTGAAATGTTGTTCTACTGTTGTCTTACTCTGTTATTTGTGAAAAATAAATAGTAGACCAGTCTAATTCAAATGGCTTTTATAAGTCATCTTTTTGTCTGGAGGCCTGGAGGATTTTCCTTTCTCTCAATCTTTATAGTGTTATAATTTTAGCAGGACATTTCTTGGACTATTCTGGGTCCATTTTCCATGATACCTGGTAGGCCCTTTCACTCTGTAGACTCAAGGTTTCTTCTACTTCCAGAAAGTTTTCTTAGATTCTAATTTTAGAGCTTAGTTCTGGCCAGCTGTTTAGATTTGCTGGGTCACGAGGCAGTCTTATGTTGGACCTCTTTTGTCTTCCAATTCAGCCATTTTTTCTTAAACCTTTTTGCTTCTTTCTTTGGTTCATTTTTATTCCCTGGGTTTTCCCTCCTTTTCCTTAATACTCCTTATTCAATTTTTGTATGAATTGATTGTCTCTTGCTCACCCTGTAATTTAGTTTTCATTTCTAATATAATTTTGGACTTTTTCTTCTATTTTTTTCCCGAGTTCAATCAATCCTCATTTCTTCATTTTTTGGTCCATTTCTTAGTTTTTGAATTTCTAATTCAAATTGTTTTTTTATTATTCCTAAATGTTAGTTGAGGATATTTTATCCAGTATGAAGCATGGTGTTAGTCTTGTCAATTTTGTGATTATAGAGAATTTTTATCAACATTTCAACTTTGAATTGCATTTTCAATTTTTTTTAACAGTAGTTTTTAGAAAGATGTGATCTACTTTTTTCCTATTCTCTTCAATTCATGGATAGGGTTTCTAGTTTGAGACTGCCCTCTTCCCTTTCTCTGGGTAGTTTCATTTATCAATAGCATTGTTGGAGGAATTGGTATGTGTTGTCTTTTGTATCTGCTGAATCCTTAACTTTTCCCTCTGTTTTTCTCTTTTCCTTAAGTGTTCTATCTTTAAGGGAAACCACACCTTGCCTGTCAGTTTAATATAAATATATGCTAAATTATTATGACTTAATAACAACCTCAGGGCAAAGTTACATTCTTAAAGAATTTTAAACATCATAACAATTCATTACTATTAAGTATCTCTTGCTTTTTGCTTTAAAACTCTTTGGTGTTTGTAATTTTTCATACGCCACTGTGAAAGTGATATTGGCCCCTATTACAAAACTGACTATAAAAGAGGTTTTACAGAGAAAGGAAACTGGTTAATAAATTCGGACACTTTCAAGGTGTTTTGAATAAATAAAAGTACTTCCTCACTCCATGCATCATGTTTAGGTTTCTGATAAAATGAATAGTCTATGGAATTTAAAATACACTGCTACATGTTGTTTCAAGAACATAAATAGCATATCAAATACATCAAACGAGAGAAGACATTTAACTATAAGAAAGAAAATTTAACTTTGTGACAGCTTACTGAACTAACATGTGATCACCTCTGGGGATATTCTTCTTTGACCTTTTGTTATTTAAAGTCTACTTTGTCTGATACTAATATAGCTGCTCTCTTTTGGCTACTATTTGCATGGAATAATCCTTTTCTCTCATTTTACTTTTAACCTATTTGTGTTTTTGGATCTACAGTAAGTCTCTTGTAATCAACACATAGTTTGACCATGTTTTTATTCATTCTGCTAGTATCTGCTTTTTGACTGAGGTTTGCATTTAATGTAATTATTGATAAGGAGACTTAATTCTGTTATTTTGCTATTTGTTTTCTACAGGCCTTAGAACTTTTCCGTCTCTTGTTTCTTGTATTACTTTTCTTGGTGTTCAATAGATTATTTGTAGTTAAACATTTAAACTCCTTTCTTATTTCCTTCTGTGTATTATGTTTTAGCTATTTTGTGGTAAACATGGGAATTACATGTAACTTACTAAAGTTATTAACACTCTAACGGGAATTTATGCCAGCTTTAATAACATACAAAAACTCTGCTCCTTTATCAGCTCCATATCTACCCTTTCCAATTGTTGATGTCTTAAAATTTCATCTTTATGCACTGGGTCCAAACATACAAATAATTATTTTAAATTATTCCCTTGAATTATGCAGAAAATAAAATATAAAATTATGAAGTTAATAAACACTAGCTTTTAGAATTTGTTTTTTACTGCTAGTTTCTTAAATCATCAAAAAATATAGTAACACAGCATTGTTACAATAACACTAGCCTTTATAGATACCCAACCATTTACCTTTACTGAGGTCTTTATTTCTCCAGAGGCTTGGATTTACTGTCTAGTGTCCTTTAATTTCAACCTGCAGGACTCCTATAGCATTTCTTCTGGACAAGTCTAATAACAAACTCCTTTATTTCTTATTTACCTGGGAATGTTTTACTTTATTCCTCCCTTTTGAAGGACAGTTTGCCAGTTACAAGATTCCTGGTCGACAATTTTTTTCTCTTAGCACTTTGAACATATTAGCCCACTCCCTGCTGGCCTTTAAAGTTTCTGCTGAGAAATGAAGATCCTTTGTATGTGATAAACTGCTTCTTCCTTGCTGCTTAAAAAATTCTTTCTCTCCGAATCTCACATGTTACACTCATAGTGGGAGGTTAAATATTAAAAACAACTGATCTCATGGAGACAGAGTAGAATGCAGGTTAAAGAAGGCTGGGAAGTGTAGGGGGGAAGGGGAAATAAAGTAGGGTTGGTTAATGGGAACAAAAATTTAGTTAGATAGAATGAACAATATTTGATAGACCATAATCAACAATAAATTAAGATATTCTTTCTTTTAAAATAATTAAAAAAGTAGAATTGGAATGTTCCTAACACTAAGCAATGATAAATGCCTAAGGGGATGGATACTCCAGTTACTCTAATTTGATTAATTCACAGCATATATGTGCCCATAATAATTAAAAATAAAAATTAACAAAAAAGTCTCTGTCTTTGGTTTTCAGCAGATCAATTATAATGTGTCTTGATGTGGTTCTCTGAGTTCATCCTGCTTGGAACTTGCTTCTTATATGTAGGTGTTCACATCTTTCATGAAATTTGGGACTTTTTTAGCCATTATTTCTTCAAACAGTCTCTGCCACAATGGTCTGCTTGGTGGGGTTCCACAGGTCCCTTAGGCTCTGTTCATTTTTCTTCAGTCTTTTTTTCTGTTTGTTTCTCAAGACTCAATCACTTCCATTGTCTTCTCTTTAACTTTGCTGATTCTTTCATCTGCCTATTCAAACGGGCTTTTGAATATTTCCACAGTCCCTTATTTATGATGGTCTGACTTACAATCTTTCAACTTTATCACAGATTTATGTGGAAGTAAGCCCACCATGTAAGCTGAGCAGCTCCTTATAACTTATAATAGGGTTACAGTGTCTACTAAATGCATATCGCTTTCATACCATCATCAAGTTGGAAAATTGTAAGTCAAACTATCATAAATTGTAGATTGCTGTGCTGCCAGCATTAAAGGCACTTCCAACTTATGACATTTTCAATGTACAATGGGTTTATTAGGATATTCCTGCACATTAAATAAAGGAACATTTACAGTGAATTTCTCATTTCACTTAGTGTACTTTACGGTTCTGGAATTTGTTTCTGGCTTTTTAGGCTACCTCTTCATTGTTACTTACACTTTGTTTATACATTGCTTACTTTTTCTATGCCTTCCTTTAGTTCTCTGAGCATATAAAAAATAGTTATAAAGTCTTTGTCTCATACATCTGCCACTGCGTCTTTCTCAGGAACCATGTTCTATTGGTTTATTTTTTCCCTTGAATGTACCACACTTTCCTGTTTGTATGCCTTGTGATTTTTTGTTGAAAACTAGACATTAGCATCTAATAATACGGTAACCCTGGAAACTGTACCCCCTTCCCAGGCATTTGATGTTTTTCATTTTTGTTTTTTTGATTGTTGTGGTGTCTCTCTGTGCCACAGGGAACCCTGAGGTGAAAACTTCAGGTCTTCTCAGGTCTTTTCTGAACTCGTGTCTTCCCCTGGCATTTTGGTGAATAAGTTTCTCTGTTAGAGAACCTAGTTGCTATTGAATGTCTTGGTATTCAACACTTGGCTCCCATAAGAGGAAAAAGAGGAAAATGAAGTGGGGGGGGAAAGGTACTGGGCCTTTAAATTTCCTGGACGTCACTTCAGCCAGAGGAAGAGAGGCTGATAGCACCTGTTGCAGAAGGTGCAACAATAACACCATTGCCTCTTTGTCTGCGCCTCTGTAATCAAATGATGCAACCGGTGATCAGATCACTGCACAGATCCCTGATGCTTGGAGAATTCTGCTCATCAAGGATCCTGCAAGGTATAGGCAAAGTGCTCCAGGAACACACGTGTAGCAGCCCACCAGGGAGCTGAGGCTGGGAGATGGGGAGCCACTACTGTGCTGAGCTGAAACTGACCGAAATGACCCACATTTTACATTTTACAATTGCCATCCCTTGGAAGTTAAAAGCTTTCTCTAGACTCCAGAGTTTCAAAACAATTACATCAGACAGATTCTGTCAGTGTAACTGCTGATTAGGTGGGGACAGAATCTGTTGTTTCCTTTTCCTCTTATCTTCCCGGAATTCTCTCTGTATTTACAAAGTATTTGACTCGTCATAAGTGTGTTTGTATGTAAAAATATTTTTTCATTTTTTGTCACAATGTGCTATAAAAACAATGCTTCCTGTAAATTGTTAGGAGATTACAAGGATCCATCCCAGGAAGTTACTGAATTTGCTTCAGGTGTGGGTTAAGCAATACTAACCAAATAGTCTTTTAAGGGTTAGGATTCTTAACCCAGTATGTAATAACTTTCTAAAACACAAATGTCATCCTTCTGCTAAACAAACAAACAAACCAAAAACAACCTTCAGCATCTCCATCTTCATATCCTCAACAGAAAAAAAAGTGGTTTAGACTTTGTAAAAATGTTATCAATGCATTCGCCACACAGTCCTACCTAATCTACCTGGTCTCCTTCTACTCTTACCGGGCACCCTTACAATCTTGCCACGCTAAATTATTTACCTGTTCCTGGAGCACGAATCCTACTCTTCTGCGTATCCAGGCTTGTTTACCTGACACCTCCTCAGCCAGGAGTGTCCTTTCTGCCTCATTTGCGTTATCAGCTGCACTCCTGCTCATTTTTCAAGTGCTAGCTCAACTGCTTCTCTGAGAAATCTTTTCCAATGTTTCTAGGCAAAACGAGTTACTCTTTTCCTCAGGTTCAACTTTGTTACATATTTCCTCAGCAGTTAGTAGAATACCCTGCATATAATATATGTTCAATAAATGTGACGGCTGGAACAAGAAACACTGGCATCCAAAACCTAGGAAATAACAAGATACCCATATTTCTTAAATCCACAAAGATACATTTTTGAAAACATGATTCAGCTACTAGGAATATCTGAATTTCTGATAAATCTTTTTTCTTTTTTTTTGCAGTTTTTGGCTGGGGCTGGTTTGAACCCACCACCCCCCACATACGGGGCCAGTGCCCTACTCCTTGAGCCATAGGCACAGCCCCCGATAAATCTTTTGATTGGCAATTTTAAGATACAATTTGCTACAACTTAAAAGCAGCAAAAGATCCCCCTTTGTGCTGAAGATTTTATCTTCACTCCTTTTCTAAGCTAAGTTTCAGGATACCCTTTATTTTTGCATGGTATATTCTATTTCCATCTTTACTTTCACAAATCAGTGACGCTGTCTCTTTTATCTACTCCGAAACCAAGGCTTCAATTCATTTAAACCTAACTAAGTGGAACCTTTATTAATTTCACTTACCCTATAGTTTCTTTTTAGGAAGTAGATAAGAGAAAAATCTGATAATTTCTCAAACTTCCAGAGAAAAATAAGTGTAATCTTATATCTTTAGAATTTATAATACCATAAAAGAGGATTTCCTACTGTGCTTTGAAAAACATAAGCTGTAATAAATCGTTTTTTAATGAAGCAAGGTCAAAGAAAGAGTATCTGTTGTAACATTTTGCATTCCACTATAGTTGATGTCACTGGATATTAATGGAAGCCTAATCGCATTTCCTAATGGGCACTTTACACCTTTATATCACAATGAGAAGAGCATAAAATTATGTCATAAGTATCATTTTATTCACAGAACAAATTTAGATAAGCCCAGACATACAAGAAGTTCTTTTTACATACCTGATCCTAAAAAAAGTATGCCCTTATTCTCAGAGAAAAACTGTACACTAAATGCTGGTTCCTTAGAGGAAAATCATTATGAACCCTTCATGAAAAGGTACATGGAGTCCTTAATTCATAGATTAGGGATTACTTTTAGAATCACTGAAGTCTTGCCAAATGTTCTCTCCTATGAGCAAATCAGTCAGCTACTCTTCAAATGCCTATGCCAGGACTGTCTGTTAGAAACGAATGGAAGAGCAGATACCTTCATCAGAGTATGCCTGTTCTAATCATGGAAATTAGACAATAGGTGAAGACAGTGGATGTGGCAGTAGGTGAAGAAATCAAGGAACAAATGGAAGAGCAGATACCTTCATCAGAGTATGCCCGTTCTAACGCATGGAGATCAGGAAATAGGTGAAGACAGTTGATGCAGCAGTAGGTGAAGAAATCAAGGACGACGACTTTTCCACATAGATCCTTATAGATGGAAATAGGCTCTTCTGTGTTCAGCCACTCTAATCCTGAAAGTTACACAAAACAAGTAACAATGATTAAAGGAAAGACAAAAATTTATTTAAAACTGTACATTAAAAAGCGAACTCTTGTTTTTTTCTAAGAGCAGTGTAAACAGTCAAACACCCTAAGAAGCTGCTAGCACTATATAAAGGCTGTGGCAGTTGAATTGATTTTTCTGTTACTATTAAGACCACCGTTTCCTACCAATAAAAAAAGACATGATGTATCTTCATGACTGTGACAAAACAGGTATTTATGATCTGAAGGAAAAGACCAAGAACACAAATTTGTTGACATTAAAAGCCCAAAGAGGAAGGAAAGAAAAGAGGATGGGGTAGGGGCAGGGGAGCCAGAAGGGTAGAGGATGGCAAAACTACTATTATAATGCAATTGGCAAAACTGGCGAGAAAAAGCGACTAAATTCTTTCAAAAATAGTATAATTGTCTGTAAAAGTTGGTAAGAGCAACACACTCGGGGGAAAAAAATCAAGGAAATATTCATATATTAAGAGAGTCTAATTGCATAAATAATAAATGGGCTATTGAGAATGAAGGTCAAGCTTAAAAACAGACATGATTAAACATCAAAAAAAAAAAAGGCAAAATGTATTATATTTGTAAGGACAGACATACAAAATGCCTAAGTCAATTTCATAAAAGAGAAGCAGCTGAAATGTTCAGATTTGGGTAAGACCTTAAATACAAATTAGTATTTTAAATGAGAAGTTAAACAAAATATACTATTATTATAGACTGGATGGAGACAACATTAACGTTGATGAATAATGTATTTCCTTCCCTCCAAAGAACAGAAAAACAGAATCTCATTAATTTGTATTTTTATAAATCAGAATTTATAATTACTTAACTGTGATTCAAAATTTTAACTCTGCACTATGAAAACTTTGTAAACTAATACTAAGAACACAGCATTTCTATTTAAACAATTTAAGAAAACAAAGATAACAGGTTTGATTTTAAGTAAATAAATACAGCTATTAAAACTATTACTTATACCTTGAGGCAAGTATTTGGAAATACTGTTTACCAACTAAAAGCCAAAATCTGGTAGAAGGAGTAAATATTAACAGTTAACAGAGGTAACCGGAGTTATTCAATTATAACAAAATTCTAGAAAAAAATACTGCAGACCAAATTAGTAATTCTGCCAATTAGCCCAAATAGTGAGGTTTCAAGGTACAGGAACCTCTTAATTATCCATATGATAAAATGTTAATTATCCACCAGATCAAGCGATCATAGAGAACTTCACACTACCTAATGTATATTTCATATCCTACATACAAAATATTTATGAATTTGTTCTTTATGGCGTTTCTGTAAATAGTCAACAGTGGCTTAGGTTGGAGGGTACAGAAAAAATGATTACTTTTTAGTTATGTCCTTACCAGGCTTAATAATAGTAATACGTTTTATAATAATTACAATGAATATAATAACAAAGCTGTTAACATTTAGTAAGCTGTCGAATAAATTAAGAATTTCATGTCTATTACCTCCACTCCACACAATAAAACTGAAAGATAAATACCAGTTCCATTTTACAAGTTAGAAGAGTAGGGATTGGAGAAGTAAAGTAACTTGCTCAAAATCATACAGCCAACAAAGGAATCAACAGGGATTTAATCCCACGTCTGAATCCACCCATTATACACACTGCCTTTTGTAAACATGTGTTTCTTCTAGAAAACGAACAAAGCATACAATTTTTGAGATCAAGTTATGTCTATGGCTTCTTGATTATAGTTTACTGATAAAGAAATCAAGAAAATACTCACTTCTAGCTTTTTGTCCTCAGTCATCAGGTTCACTAAAAAACCAGACTACATCAAATACAAAACCTTTATATTTTACTATGCATGTTAGTCACAAAAGTCAAATCTCATGGTAATAAAATACAAACAACCACTTAAAAATAAAAATACTCCCTCCAATCCTAACCAATGAACTGCTTGTTTCTAAGTGTATTTACAATATAAATACACTTTTACCTTCTTATAAAACTTCAAAAAATTAACATATTTGAATATGTGTATATAATATTTTAAAGTTTTTTGATAAAACGTGCATTTGTGCACCGAATTCTTTTTTTAAGAATTCCACAATATTTCAAATCTAGTGTAAAATTAGTAATGGAAAAAGCAAGCACTCCTTGTGGCAGGTGTAAAAGACTTGGAAAGACACGCAAGACTCTGTTGTCAGAGGCAGGTTCCAATATACCTCCCATGAGATAACTGAACCCTGCCATAGCCAACCAATTAACTATACATGTGGTTTCACATGCCAGGACACATGCCAACACAACCCAGGCAAAACAATGTTACCCCCATTCAAAGAAGGCATAATACATTTTCACTTATCGTGGCAAGATGTGCTTCACAAACAGCCCTGTTGGGAATATCTATTCCTCACATTCCAAACAGTCACATAACAGGAATTCAAACCCTGGAGAGTGGTTATAATTGATCTAGATTTTTAAAACAAGAAGTTGTACAATTTTTAACGGAGAAGTGCAGCACAGCTTAAAAAAAAAATCAGGAAATCTGGGGTCTGGCTAATCCAATTCTAGTCAGTTATTGGCTGTGAAACCGCGGGCAAGTTACTTAACCTCCCTGTGCCTCAGTTTCCTCAAATGTAAAACAGTAATAACAAGAACACCTCACTGGGTTGTTGAGAACATGAAGTAAGTCACCATCTCTTGATGTGTTTAGAACTGTGTGTGGCATATAAAAAGTTATCAGTACACGTCAAGAAGGATGATGCAGAAGAGGACGACAATGCTGGAGAACCGAACTGAATGAATGCAGAGGGCGGCCACCCAATATTTACGGAGTGTGGACTTAGTTACCACAGGCCCAAGCAGGGCTCAGGATTCGGAACAAATACGCAGGTCCCGCCGCCCTGGAACCCACCGTCAAGCGCCACTTGGGGACACCTGGGAATTGCAGAGCGCGAGCGCGGCTCCGGCCAGCGGGGGCCCCGCCAGGCGCCGGCGACACAACCCCGCCTCGCCCACCGCGGCCGGGAGGAGGGCGCGGCCCCCGGGAAGGGGAGGTCCCGCGCGGCTTCCCCACCCCGAAGCCAGCCCCTCACCTTCCGGAAACTCGGGCACCGCCAGGTCCCGCTCCCAGCCGTCCACCTTCTGCACGTACTGGTAGACCAGGTTGTCCTTCTCCTGCTGGGTGACAGCGTCGAGCAGCGCGTACTCCAGCGAGGTCTGCGCCGGCAGCAGGCCCGAGAGGCTGCAGCCGCGGGCTCCGGGCGCCGCCATGTTCTCCGCGGGTCCCGAGACGCCTGCCGGCCGCGGGCGCGCTGGGCGAGGGGCAGACGGAACGCTCACAGTCCTCGGCTTCCAAATCGGCGCGTTCACCTCGCTCTGCCCCGGCCCCACGCCACGGCAGTGACCCTTCCCCCTTTTCTAAGCATTCGCCCCGTCGCCAGAGTCCCCGCCGTCGCGATTCCCCGGGACGTAATTAAACTACCGCCCCAGCCCTCTCCGCCCCTTCTGGGCCCCTCGCTGAGCCTGGACATTGACAGCGCCAGATTCAACATGGAAAAGGCCCAGAAGCGGTAAGGGACCCACTTCCTCGCCCTCCGCTTTAGAAATTAGCGTGCTTAGGAACAAAAATAAAATAGAATAAGTCTGTAGGTCTTATAAGGACACTCGATTTAAAAAAAAAAATCACTTTTAAAGTCCCGCTCTTAGGCCAGGATCCGCTGATTCGACACGGCACTGGCAGCGGGAAGCTCTTCCCGCCAAGACACTAAAGGTAAAGCAGGGGTAGGACCAGCCTCTGGGAGAAGGCTTATTCAAGTTGGAAGTGACCGAGCCAGTGGCCTTAACTTACGGACAAGTCGGCGTTTGGTCGCCCTGGGAGTGTTGAAAGTGCAGGCGCGAATAGGTTGTTAGCCGAGTCAGGGTTCGGGGTTGCAGGGGGAGCGGATGCAGCTGGAGCTGCAGCTGGGGCCCGGGTGACAGGTGGGCGGCGGTGAGGGTCCCTGTGGGCAGGCCTCGGAGTCTTCAGAAGTGGAGGCTCTGAGGGCTCTTTTGGAGCTGACGGTGCTGCTTCTGGAGAGGATTAAAACCTTAGTCACTGGCCTTGCTGCCCGAGCCTAAAGCTAGAGGGGGTGGCAGGCAGCAGGCAAGGGACCTTAGTTTTGAGAAGAGAGGGCTGGCCCCCCATTAGGACAGATCGTCTCTCGTTTTCTGGAGTGCAGAGTGGGACCTCAATACAAGCACCATTTCACATATTTGAACTTTTTTGTCCACTGTGTAGGGTTTGTTCATTGCTGCTGGAGGAAGATAATGGATTGACCTAAAAAGCTGAAGTTGCTGAACACCCACAAGTCATGGATAAGGCAATTACTTTTTTGCGACTTACACACCTCTTTGACTATGGTGTGAGGAGTTTTGTTGGTAACTGAGGTAGCCATTCAGTGTTTGGAATTCCTGCTGAGTCACCTGCCCAGGGACTGTGGTTGGATTTGTGAATTATGTGAACAGTTGTCCACTTGAAAGAGAACTCAAAGTAGCTTTGTAACAGTTTTACAGAGTCATTCTGAGAGTAAGCTGCTAAACCTGTATTTCCCATTAGTGCCTAATTTTCAAAGTACAGTATTGATTTCTTATTTTTGTGAATTAAGTCCCAGAGAAGGCTGAGATTCCTGAATGAAATTGCCACAGTCAGAAACTTCACTACTGTGACTATTTCTTTTAATTTTGTTGCGGTATAAATGGAAGGACAGATTCCCATCCAGTTAGTGGGGGATTTGTTACTTTTGATTTTTCTCTCTGCAAAAATAGAAATTTTGTAGCAAGAAATGAACTTTCAATTCACTTAAGACTAGCAATTCTTTAATGATAAAATCATTTTGCCATGATAGACGACACTCTTGTGGAAGAAGACATTTGGGAATACAAATCTAAACGAAAACCAAAACTAGCTGTCACAAATCATGGCCCTGAAAATATTCCAAAATCTGTTGGAAAAGCAAAAGATGGAAAGTGCCAATCAAAAAGAAATAGAAACAGAAAAAGAACCAGAGAAGCTAAAGGGGAGGTGAAGGACCGTGAGATGTCTCCTAGAGAAGGAGTGTGTCAGACTTGTGTAGCTTCCAGTCAGAGTTCAAGCTGTGGGGATGGTATTCAACAGTCTCTAGACAAGGAGACCACTCCAAGAAAGTTGGGTAGAACTCACAAAAACAAACAGGTGTCTCCAAAGATACGTCCACTTTATGAAGGATACTGTCCAAACTGCCAGATGCCTTTTTCCTCATTACTAGGTCAAACACCTCGATGGCATGTCTTTGAATGTTTGGATTCTCCCTCAGTCTCTGAAACAGGTAAGATTACAGAAAAGGTAGTGGTTTCTAAGTAATTTAAAAGGTTTGCATTAGGTTAGAAATTCCAATTCAGTGAAATGAACAAGGCAAGCAATAAACTAAGAGAGAGATGAGACACTATGATCAGACACCGTTATCAGTCAAGGGTATAATTGTAAAGAAAGTCGCAGACTTGTAAACAGTTTAAATGCATTTTACTTCATGACAGTTCGTAGACATTTAAATTATTTATTTTTTTCTTTTTGAGACAGAGTCTCACTTTGTTGGTCTTGGTAGAGTGCTATAGCATCACAGCTCACAGCAACCTCAAACTCTTGGGCTTAAGTGATCTCTTACCTGAGCCTCCCAAGTAGCTGGGACTACAGGTGCTTGCCACACGCCAGGCTATTTTTGTTATTGTTGTTGTTGTTGTTGCAGTTGTTGGGCTGGGCTGGAACTTGCCAGCCTCTGTGTATGTGACCAGCACCCTACTCACTGAGCTATGGACACCAAGCTCGTTTCAGTTATTTTTTGTAAATGTTAAGTGAACCCTTACTGTGCTAGGCCACATTGTTTATTTACTTGGACACCACCATGTAAGCTAGGTGGTACTGACATTTTATAGAGAGGGTTCTTAAAAGTTAAATAGTTTGCCTCACTTGTTATCGTTCATGGAACTATATAGAAAAGTACATGTATAGTCTGGTTTCTAAATATGGTTATGTTGTATTAATCATGGTAATGTACAGGAAGAGGAACTGGGAAGGAGTCTTAGGTGACTAAGATTCTAACAAAAATGTGCCAAATGATAACAGAAATAATGCTATGTTTTTAATCTTTTAAAATATATAATAAGTATTTAACATATGGAAAATCCTATTTGGAATATATGGGGAATGAGTTGGGGTGATTTATGTGCTTTAAGGTTATTGTAGATGCCATACATAGACTTCTAACTCTGAAAACATTCCATAAAGTGAATAACTAATCCTCAGTATAGCTTTCATGTTAACTATGACTCAGAATACATTTTATTATTAACCTCTAGTTATTTTAAAGTAATGTATGGAGAATGCAAAAGAATTAAAAAAAAATTGTCATTAGCCTTTCCCATAAAACTATAGCAAGTGAAAACCTCGTTAATATTAGTAATTTACTTTTATGTGACTTAAAAATCAGAAATGGAACTTGGAAACCATAGCGAGCATCGCAGGGTGAAATGTCTTGTAGATGAAGCCACCTCAAAAAGATTTGCTTTTGATTTTTTACAGATTAAACAACTTTGAGTAGAATCTCAGACTCCTCTTGAATTCCTTTCTATAACAGATACTTTCACGAGGTGGTTTTAAGTTAGGTTTTAAATCACAAGGTCTTCTAATTTAATTAACATCTTTTTAAGGGGGAAAGAGAATGTCAGCTTTTGATAAACCTAGACCTTAACGTATATAGCGATATGCCAAGATGGTTTACAGAAAGTTCCTCAATTACAATAGTATGACAGGGAAGAGTTTCCAAATTAGTAAAGCCTTATTAGTAAGCAATTTATCAAATTGAATTTCAAATCTTGAACAGAATTGAAATTTGTTCGGTGTATGAACAGCTATAAATAATCTTACTGAGATTGTTACTTTTTATTGTATACAATGTGAATGTTACATAATGGAACCTAATTTGGTAATAGTTACCATAATAAATCTTTGTTGCTTGATAAAATAAAAGCTGATAGAATTTTAGTTCTGTGAGAGATACACTGGCCTTCTTCACTCTTTATTGCCTGAACAGTACTGAACTAGTAAAACTAATGGTGTCAGCTCCTAGGACCCATTTGAGAAATACTAATATAAATGTGATGTGCATTTTCAAGGGGCTCACGTTTGCACGAGTTCCTTAGGAAAGAAAAAAAGATGATGTTAGTCTTAAAAATGTGGAGAAAAGATTTGAAAAGAAATTTAAAGGAGTATTTAATTTAAAACTAATAACCAGTGCCTTGCAAAACCATGCTGGGTTAAGTGTTGGTATTTTATGCCCACCTTTTGATCTTTGTGCAGTTAAAAGCTGTTGTCCCAAGGCCTCAAAGAAGGACTGATGCTTTTTCCACTTGGATGTTAATTTATAGTGCTAATTCTGTCCAAAGCTAAGTTTATGCTTTGATTCTGTAATGCTCTTTTTTTCATTAAAACTTCCAGAGTGTCCTGATGGTCTTCTGTGCACCTCAACAATTCCTTCTCATTACAAGAGATACACTCACTTCCTGCTTGCTCAGAGTAGGTCCGGTAGTAGTCCTGTGAGCAACCCATCCTACGTGTCAGGTGGTAGTGTCAGTGAGGATAATTCCAGCTTTCTCCGTAGCCTTGCGGAAAGATGGTCTCCATATCAGAAACAAATGGAAAACTTAGAAGAAATTTCAAGCAATCCCTTGTTGGTAACTCAGTGTTTAAGAAAATCTCAATCTCAATATCCAACTGAAATTGACAAAAGGATTTCCTCTCCTGCAAATAGCCAAACATCCCAACAAGCGCTACAATTTACGGGGTTTGTTAAGAGTGACAGACTGGTAAGAGTTGGTTTGCCTCTTGCTGATAAAGTACTGGATAGCCAAAACAACTCAGAACCCATAAATTTGCCCTTGCCAGAAAATGACTTTAGCGACTGTGAAATCTCCTATTCTCCACTTCAAAGTGATGAAGAAACTCACAAGGGAGATGAAAAGCTGGATGATTCACAACAGGAACTATTTTTTACTGAAAATTCAAAAGATAGCTGCCTACAAGAAGATAACGACTGCTCTACTTCATTTGAAAAACTACAAGGTCACTTACTGCAGGACCAGGAGGAGGGCTACCCCAAAGTGAATAGCTTCTTAACTCAGCACAAGTATGATGCAGAATTGTATAAATACAGTACACTAAGCCATTCCCCAAATAATCAGAGTATTCCTTTGTATTATGATCCAGCCTACACCGGTGGTGATTGTATGTTGTTTCCACCTGCATTAGCAGGGGAGTTTGCTGCTTCTAATTATATAGCAAAACCTGGTGAGCCAGAATTTCAGTCATCTCAATCAAATAAACAGAAATGGGTCCTTGAAGGATCAGCTGTTTCTCTTCCGTTAGTAACGAGTGAAATGTCAAGACTTTTTGAAAGCCAGGGAGGAGGTTATCTTTCTTTCCACCCAACCCAAAGTAAAATTAAGGAATTACCAAGTGAGAACCTCTGTGCCAGGAACAACACTAACTCAGCAGGTAGCCACAGAAAGGCATTAGACGGTGTGCTAGGTGGTAAAGTTCCTGTTTTAAATACAGAAAGGGTTTCTGGTACACCTGCTTCTAAGTCTTTGAAAACATTGACTTCTGGTCCTAAGTGTAGTGTAAGAAACCCTTCTACCAAGGTAATGAAGCAAACAGATATAGGTGTGTACTTTGGACTACCGCCTAAAAGAAAAGATGAGAAATTGCTGGAGGAAAGTGCATCACAAGGGATAGAGTTAAATCCAGTTCCAAGTCCTAAGAAAAACAGGTCTTGGCAGCGCAAGAGGAAAGCAGAAAAATCTTTAAGTGATTTAGAATTTGATGCACAGAATTTAAGTGAGAGTCAGCTTTCTGTGGAACTTTCTAGTGAGAGGTTACAGCGTCAAAGAAAAAGACTTAAAAAGTCAAATTCACTGCAGGAAGGAGCACGTGAGAAAAGGTCAGATGACCTTACAAAATCTGGAACAACCAATTTAAGGAAAAGCAGAGCCTTCAGAAAATCAGCTCCTGGCGGGCTGCAAAGAGAGAACGAGAAAATCTCAGAGTCACCTAACATTGGAGAATTAAGAAAAAAGACATGTCCATTCTATAAGAAAATACCTGGTAAGTTGAATTATCAATCCTCAATATATCAACAAAGACAAAACTTTTTTTACTTTGTGTTCATTGCCATGGGGTGAGTGAAAGTGGGTATACAATTCTTTTTTTTTTTTTTTTTGCAGTTTTGGGTAGGGCTGGGTTCAAACCCGGCACCCCTGGTATATGGGGCTGGCGCCCTACTCCTTGAGCCACAAGCACTGCCCCAAAACAATTCTTTTGTGTGTGTTTCCTTTAGTCTTTATAATACTTCATGAGTCTTTAACATAGATTTGCTTTTTGGCTACTTGATTTTTTTTGCTCCATTCAATTCAGCAAACTTTCTTTAAACATATTCTTTATTTAAGTCAGTGTACTGAAGGAAGGTCCTGCAAATTATGGAAAGATTAGTGAGAGAGTAATTGGGATTCAGTTTAACACAGAAGAAAGAAAGGCATTTCCGCAAATTACTCCCTAATGAGAGACAGTCTCTAAGCCCTTGTGAGAAATACAAAGTCCTAAATATCTTCCAAGACAGGAAATGTCACCGGTAGTACATATCATAAATGCCAAGCCTTTTAGGAACATAGTAGAACTTAGTTTCTCTGTACTTTCATGTTCTTAAAATTTCAGATGAATTAGTTAAAAAAATGTACTATGAAATGAATGTGATTGAAGAAACCAATAACTCTTCTGAAAAGAATATAAGATAAAGCCGAATAAAAATAAAGCAGCCAAAATAGAATTGGCTCAGAAAGTTTTTAAGCGCTTTATGGATATTCTAGATCAAGGGTCCTCTAACTTTTTAAACAGGGGGCCGGTTCACTGTCCCTGGGACCGTTGGAGGGCTGGACTGCGGCCCCGGGACAAGTCAGCTGGTAAACAGGACAGGCAGCAGAGGAGGCAAAAACACCCAGCGGGCGGGATAAATGTCCTAGGCAGGCTGCAGTTTAAGGACGCCTGTTCTAGAGCTATAATTTGTTCAAAATATTTATGTAGAGAATAGCATTTCTACACAGTACAGCACCAGTTTTGTTTTAATAATTATTCTGATTAATTTTCTGTACTTTTTTTTTTTTTGGTTTTTTTTTTTTTTTTGAGACAGAGCCTCAAGCTGTCCCCCTGGGCAGAGTGCCGTGGCATCACAGCTCACAGCAACCTCCAACTCCTGGGCTCAAGCGAGTCTCCTGCCTCCGCCTCCCAAGTAGCTGGGACCACAGGCGCCCGCCACAACGCCTGGCCATTTTTTGGTTGCAGCCGTCATTGTTGTTTGGCGGGTCCGGGCTGGGGACTCGACCCGCCACCTTAGGTGTACGTGGCTGGCGCCTTAGCCGGTTGAGCTATAGGCACCGAGCCAATTTTCTGTACTTTTAAGTGAGTCTAAAACTAGGATGCCACGTGTTGATAAGCCTCAGCAGATTGTGAAATTATACTTCTTTACTGGCCTATCACCCGTCAGCACGCTAGGTTATTTGTTATGTGAACACATTTCAGAGCAGTATTTCTCAACCTCTTTTTCATCACCGCCCCTCTGGAGAACCTTTTTTAGGCATTTATTTTCTTGTTTGCCCCCACCCTCCAATCCCAATCTGCAGCCACAGTGATGGTGGTTGATATACTGTTCTTTTTGTACTGTGGTCCTCTCGAGGGCTGCACATTTCTGTGAGACGTGAAGTTATTTTGGCCTTAAACCATGTTTACTCTCTTAGAAGCATATCGATTTCACCCCATTGAGAATTCGTGTTTTAGAAGAAAGCCTTCACTATTTGCTGTTTCGTAAAGGATTTCAGGTGCCCTGTAAATATTATGAAAGTATTAAGTCAAACAATCGGTTTGCATTTTGATTTTTTTAACTGTTCATCAAAAATGTCTATGTACGAGGATATTTAGTGGAAACTTGTAAGACTAATTCTTTTCTGTAGTAACACCTTTTGCTGAATTTATGTGGCATAAATTTTAAAATGATAGTTACATTGGAAATGAGATGTAGAGAGGATCAATGATTTAATTTTTATAATCGAATTAGAAGATATCTTTTACTTTTTCAGCACTTGCTCAGCCTGCTGTTGGTGTTTTCATTGCAGGAACGGGCTTTACAGTGGACGCCTTCCAGTATGGCGTGGTGGAAGGTTGCACAGCCTACTTCCTCACGCATTTTCACTCTGATCATTATGCTGGGCTGTCTAAGCACTTCACGTTTCCAGTTTATTGTAGCGAGGTAAGTTTTAGCATTCTAAATTTTGACGATAGAATGCTGCAGATTTCTAAGCAATTTGGTTTAAAAAAAAGGCATACTTAAAACTGTAAGATCGCTCATTCTACTAGAAAAGATAAAACAGATTCCACATCAGAGTTCTGAAATCAAATGAATTCATGTCAACAGTTAACAATCCATTTCTTTAAACTTATGTTTTATTACATGGAAACAATAGATAAACTATTTCACAAGGTTCTTAAAAACCCCAAGTTTCATTTAGTAAGTGTTCATTGAATGCCTAAATGGAAATTTAGGGAAAATACAGTCAACCCTGTGTATTTGTGGGTTCTGTATCTGCAGGTTCTGTGCCTGCAGATTCAACCAATGGAAAAGACTCTAAATAAACAAAAACCCACCACAATACAACCATAAAAAGTAATAAAAATAAAAAGTGCAGTGTAACAACTGTTTACATAGCATTGTATTAGGTATGAAGTAATCTAGAGATGACTTAAAGATGGGAAGGAGTGCATAGGTTATGTGCAAACACTGTGCCATTTTATCTAAGGGACTTGAGCATTCCTAGATTTTGGTATCCTCAGGGGTCCTGGAACCAATCAATCTCCCTAAGATGTGGGGGGACAGGACTGTACCTAACTTCAAGGAGATTATAGCCTTTAGAGGAAATACTCATAAATAATACCACAATGAAATTGGTACTGTAATAAAAACATGGATGGAGTACCCTAAAGTAGGGAGAAGGGAGCATTTGATTCTGTTCTGGGCTAAGTTTAAAGACAGTTTAATAGTGAAAGAGATAACTTGACCTGATTATTAAAAAAGTAAACATTCTAATGCCTATTACTAAGTAAGGGCTTTAGCTAGAGTTTGATTTAATAATTCTCACAGCATTCTTGAAGTATCTACTTTTTATCAATGAAGCACCTAAAGTTTGGATAGATTAAGTGACATGCTCCAGGTCATAGACCTACTCATGTCAGAATCCAAATTTGAATGCAGGTGGTCTGATTCTAGAACCAGGCAGAGGAAAGAGGAAAGAGCATGCCAGGTACAGAGTACAGTGTGTGTAAAAGGCACAGGCACCTGGGAAAGATGGTCACTCCAGACCCTGAAGGGCTAGAATGCAAGACAGGAAATGGCAGGATGCAAGCACATGAGAGTGGGGAGGGACCAGATCACCAGGGGGTTTGTATGTCATGCTGGGAATGATGGACTTTCACAGGTGAGAGTGAGTCAGTGGAGGGTTTACTTGAATGTAAGTAGAAAAGTGGGGATGTTATTAAGATGCTGTAGGTCTAAACTGGCATGAGATAAAATACTTAATGTTCTACCGTATCAGCAATAAGTGCACCCTGTTTTGCAGATAACTGGCAATTTGTTGAAGAATAAGCTTCATGTGCAAGAACAATACATCCATCCATTGCCGATGGACACTGAATGTGTTGTGAATGGTGTCAAAGTGGTTTTGCTGGATGCCAATCAGTAAGTATTAAAGTCACCTGAATAGTAGCCCAGTGTTCTAATTTTGAAAAAGAAGACACATTGGCATGGTTACTTAAGAACATTTTTATCATAACGAATATGCTTCATATTTCTTAAAACTTGAGTGAGATGTTTCTTCTTTTGAAAAAAATAATAAACCCAAATATAGAATCGGAGATTAAGGGCAGAGAGACCCTTTAAACATTGTCTAGCCTATTTTGTAAATCTAGTTTAAATTGTTAACACTTGACATGGGAGACTCCAGCTTATCTTTTTTAAAAGATATTATTGCTGTTCTTGTTTGCAAGATAATGTTTTGCCATTTTCTTTAATGTCATTTATACACATTAACAGCTTGTACTCCGTTCAGATACAAAAAGATTGTTTGATCTCCTCCTTTTAAACTAAGAAATTTTACAGGCTTCAGATACTAAAGATTTAGAAGATTTTTTTTCATAGCAAAGGTTTCCATTTCTTCCTCTTTTTTTAATGTAAAGTACTGTCAGCATATGCTTTTTTCTACTTTTCCCAGAATGTTCTGCCTGTACCAAGAGATCATAGCTGTTTAGAGAAAGAAGACTACAGCTAGGTTTCCTAAATTCTGCCAATGCTGTTACTTAAGTTCTTTCTCTAAGTTTTGTCTGCTAACTTGCAACTGTTTCTTTTTTTAATCATCAATTTTACTTCTGATTTTTAAGTCAAGTTTTTTTAGGTATTCACCATAGATTGCATAGTTAGCATAAATATGTGATCAAGCTAGTATCTCACAGCCTAATGCCTCAGGTGTACAAAACACCTTATCAGGCAGAATGTTCCCAGGGCTCAGAACTCATTTCCCAGGAGCCAGTCAAGGTTCAGTCCTGAAGACAGGCATTTCTTGTTAATGTGTAGAGTCTGAGCAACCCAGGCCTGCTGAGTTAATCTTCTTCTAAACCCCAATTCTTTTTCTTTTCTTTCTTTCTTTTTTTTTTTGAGACAGAGTCTTGCTCTGTGGCCCTGAGTACAGTGCAATGGTGTCATAGTAGTTCACTGCAACCTCAAACCCCTGGGCTCAAGTTATCATCTTGCTTCAGTCTCCAGAGTAAAGTAGCAGGGACTATCATCACGCACCAGCATGCCTGCCTCCTCTACTTTTAGTGGAGATAGGGTCTCACTCTTGTTCAGGCGGGTCACCAATTCCCTTTACGATGTGAATTTCCTCTGTAGCATGATGCTGTGTCATTGTGGTCAGCTTATAAAGTGTGTTAACGTGTTGATAAACTTCCTTTAGGTGCTTTGCCTGTGTTAAGAATATTCCTTTGAAATTTTGTGTTCAGCTGTCCAGGTGCCGTCATGATCCTTTTTTATCTTCCTAATGGTACTATCATATTACACACTGGAGACTTCAGAGCAGACCCCAGCATGGAACGTTCCCTCCTCGCAGGCCAGAAGGTGCACACGCTGTACTTAGACACAACGTAAGGGAGGCTTTTTTTGATTCCTTTCCCGCTAACAGTATTCGCTCTATGTATTATGAACAACTTCAGCATTTGCGTCAGTCATTAAAATGATGGCTTATTGCCATTTATTGTTTGAAGGCTATTTATCAGAGTGATGACGTTTTAAAAATACATACTTGCTTAAAGGCAAATTTAGGATTATATGCCTTAATCAACTATAGTTCATTTTTTGTTTTTGTAATTTATTTTTGAAAATATGTTTATATGAGACTCCAGTTACTGAACCAAGGAAGAAAAATTTGGGAGTAAGCTTTAGGGAAACACCTTTTGGGGTTGCCCTATAAAAATATCTGTATAGCTAATAAGCCTTAACTGTGAAGATAAAAAAGAGGCAAAAGATGATTCAGTTTCTGAGTCTTTAAAGTTACTTTTGTTCTTTTCTCAAAAAGGTAATTTATAAGTGATAGTGTTGGATTCTAAAGTGCTGTAAATATAATGGCATAAGCCATTATATTTTAATTTTCTCTATATTTCCAGCTTTATTAAGGCATAATTGACAGATAAGAATTATATATATGTATGGTATACTATGTGACCTGTACGTATTATATATTGAAATGCCTCACTAATTTGTTAGAAATGAAATATCTTGACCATTTCAACCTGTTTCAAGAAGTATGGATGGGATAGTTTAGTCAAAAGTGATCTTTCCACAACCAGCTTTCCCACACTGTGATTAACTTTTTTATTCTTATACATGTGCTTTAGGTACTAGATTAATTGAAAACAATAATAATAAGTTTAAAAATGTATTACTTAGTTCTGTGTACGATTCTGAATTTCTTTGTGAGTTTTTATAGAAAGGGCTAAGTGTGTTTTCCTTTTTACTAGCCATGGACCAGCAAAACAATTTTGAAAGTTGCCAAAAATATGTTTCTTTGGTGCTTGCAGTTAGTTACATTTTCAGTGAAAAAGCACTCACTTTGTATCTCAAACTTGTATTGAAAGTAGCCTACTTACACCAAGTGTTACTGTATGTAGGTAATCTCCCCTAGCTCTGGGTGTGTGGATATCCCCCCCCCACACACACACAATGTATATATTTCTGTGCCTATAAGAAGAGATGATATCAACTATGTGAATATTGGTTGATTTAAAACTATTTCATTAAATTCATGTATATTTTCATTACTTTAATAGTTTTTTATTAAATCAGAATTCTTTGGTCCAAATATAATTTTTTTCTTTTTATTGACTGTCTCACTCTGTTTTCCAGGATAGAGTGCTGTGGCATCATGATAGTTCACAGCAACCTCAAACTCTTGGGTTCAAGAAATCCTCTTGTCTCAGCCTCTTGAGTAGCCTGGCACAACACCCAGCTAGTTTTTATGGTTTTACTAGAGATGGGATCTCACTCTTACTCTAGCTGGTCTCAGACGCCTCAGCTCAAGCAATCCACCCGTCTCAGTGTCCCAGAGTGCTAAGATGACAGTCATGAGCCATGATGCCTGACCCAAATATAATTCTTATCAATAGAATTTGCTTTGATAGTGATTGGGATTAAAGGAAAAGGCATTGAGGTTTATAATTTATAACTAAACTAGCTGACTGGCTACAAAAAAGTCTTCAAAAAGTCAATTTCTTTAAGGATGACAAAAGAAATATAATGAAAAAAAGTAAATTTATAACTCTAACATAAATTAGCAATAACTGATAACAATTTTAAACACAGGCAGTGAGATAATGTCATGGTGTCAGTATACTACACTACCGTTACGTTATCATTGGCTAAAGCTTATTTCCAAAAACAGCATCCAACTTAAGGTTATAGCTTGCTCAATTGGTTCTTTTAATAAATACCATGTTCCATATTACAGATACTGTAGCCCAGAATACACCTTTCCGTCTCAGCAAGAGGTTATCCAGTTTGCCATCAACACTGCCTTTGAGGCTGTAACTCTAAACCCATGTGCTCTTGTCGTGTGTGGCACTTACTCTATTGGAAAAGAGAAAGTCTTCCTAGGTGGGTGGTAGCTGTATCTAATTTACATTAATATATTATAAAGATCAGATTCATCTTGCATAAAGCCCTTTCAGTCTTTAGGCTTGCATTTGATAATTACTTCCTGAAATGATTCAATATTGCCTTTGGTGTTGAAGGAAAATTTGATAGTTTGGTACATTTGAACTTTGAAAAGCTTAACCTTATGGAAATATTTGATAGTACGTGTTTATCTCAGCCTCTAAAGCTGTAAGAAGTTTATAGAGCAAATGCCCATACAACACTATTATTTGCATAAATTTTGGAACCTGGCTAACGCATAGATGTATTACTGTATTCCGTGAGAGTAACGATTGGTTAATTATTTTAGAGAACAGTTTTAATTTTTGTTCCTAAGTGTTTTCTTGATGTAGAACTATAGTTTGTCTAGATAGTATTACATTATTTTGCAAAGTACTTTCCATTTCTTCTTCAGCATGGTCACATGATGTCAAACATTAATATGTGAAGTGATACAGCCAGGGTTTTAACTTCCCCGAATTTAATTTCTTTCCTCTACTCCATTCTATATGCTTTTGTCATTTTAAATAATAAATGATGGGTCTTTAAAAATAAATTTGCTTTCTCACAATTTATTCCACACAGTTAACCAACAAAATCACTCAGCCTTTTTGAGATGGTAAAAGTGTGAATGTTTTGAATTTCCTTTTATTTGGTAAATTCTTATTTAAAATGTGACCAGGTTATTCCTTTATTTCTTTCTTTCACAAGCTATACTTTTACTATTTTTAACCTTTTTCTTTGCCTATAGCCATTGCTGATGTTTTGTGTTCAAAAGTGGCCATGTCCCAAGAAAAATATAAAACATTACGGTGCCTCAATATACCAGAAATTAATTCACTCATCACTACGGACATGTGCAGTTCCTTGGTTCACCTTCTCCCAATGATGCAAATTAATTTTAAGGTAAGCATTCAAGAGAAATGTCTTTTAGGATGAACTGGGAAAGGTTATATGATGACTGTAGACTGAAATCCCGTTTTACTTGCATTTAAATCAGAGGAATTTGATTATGATGCAGTCACTTAGAGTGAAATTTGCCGTAGAAAATATTTAAAGGGGAATTTAAGGTGTTTTTAATTTTTCTGCATGTGCAACTCTATAGAGTAATTCATCTGCCCGCCAGAAGTTTAGGAATTAGAGAACTAACGTATAAGAAGAAACAAAAATAGAAAATGCACAGCTGTTGGCTCATTCAAACCTTTCATTTTTAAGATCATTTTCCAGGTCTTTCTGAGTGAGTGCGGAAATGAGTAATTCTAAGGAGTTCTTACTTGTTTGAACAGCTCTGTTCTGAACAGGTCTGTTCTGTTCTGCATTAATATGAAGCCTCTACAACATAGATGTGTTGAAAAATTACTTTATGTAATTACATAATTGCAAAAATTATGTGAGGATTAAATGAAACAGTGGAAGTACATCCTAAAAGGAATTTCTAGCATTTATTCCATGATATAAATTTAGACACATGTGACATGACCTCACTGTGTGATCTGGGGGGTTATTTTTCAGATTTCTTCATATACTAAGATATAGTTCATATACTAAAATTTTGACACCTGCTAATAGATTATAGCAAACCTGTATATTTAAAACAGTTTGGTACATTATGCAGAAGACAGTGTATTCTGGTATAATGTTCATGAAATAAAAAACAATGAATGAGAGGTGAGGAAATGGAGATAGGAAGCATGGAGTGTGGCTGTGAAGAGGGGCTGGGCATCCAAAGGGCTTTGCTTGTTTGTCAGCCGTCAGATATGAGGAATTTTAGATCGTGAGGGGTGGGGAGGAACTGAAGGTATGTGAGATAAGAGGACAGTTGATGAAGTAAGGTTTCTAAATGGGATCGGAAACACAGCTGCACCAGCTTTCCGCAGGAGGGGCTACCTCTTCCTCCCTGATGGTTTCCTCACAACCTACCCCGTTACATGCTGTGTGTTCTGGTACACGTGGCATGGCCTTCTTTTAGACATCCTATATTTACGAATCCAAACTTAAACCAGATTTAAATTTAAATCCTCAGACAACTACAAACTCAAGTGTCATTTTCGTACAGGAATTCAAATTGGCTTTAATGATTCAGAAATGTTTGATCTGATTTTTTTTTCCCCCGAGGAGTCATCTGGAGTCTTTAAGTCTATATTTTTAATCGCCAGTAAGTCTATATATTCCCACTTCTAGATCCTTTGTGAGAAGGTCAACCTGTAAGGCTCCTGGGTGCTGATGTTATAATAGATGACGGGAGTGGGAAAAAGCTAAGAAAGGGCAGGTGGTTTCCATTAGAAAAGATGGAGAAGGTGGGGTTTGTTGACCTTGTGCCCACTAAGCTGTAAGCTTCTGGAAGGTGAGGTCTGCACCCTCTTGCCCTTCACGCTGAGCTAGCACTGGGATGACACTGAAACAGATGTTTCTGGGTATTGCCTTCAGTGGTCCCTCCTCTTACGCCATTAGGGGACCAGGTATTGATCACTTACGTTGAAGGCTTCTTAACTTCGAAACACAGATGGAGCAGAAACTGATAGTTACTCTAGTGCTGTATTTTAGTTAGCATTTAGTAGCCAGGATTTTTGCGTTTTTTGGGGGGGGGATTTTTTGGGATTTTTTTGAGACAGAGTCTCACTCTATTATTTTGGGTAGAGTGCTGTGAGGTGACAGCTCACAGCAACCTCAAACTCTTGGGCTCAAGCAATTCTTTTGACTCAGCATCCTGAGTAGCTAGGACTACAGGCCCCTGCCACAACACCTAGCTAGTTTTTTCCTACTTTTAGTAGACAGGGTCTCGCTCTTCCTCAGGCTGATCACAAACTACTGAGCTCAGGCAATCCACCTGCCTTGGCCTCCCAGCGTACTAGGATTACAGGTTTGAGCCACCATGCCCAACCAAAAGGCGAGTGTTTTAGTCAGCCAAAAATAGTTTTGTTGCATGAGAAATAATGACATTTTGTGAAAAGGTAAACTGTAGCAACCCGGGAACCAAACTGCAATGTGGTGGACTGGGGGTTCTTCCTGGCAGGAACATTACCCGACTGGCCCAGGTCTGGCAGACAAAGGGAAAGGTAGGCTGTGACAATGACACACAGTATTCTGACCCACGAGAGATGATACCGTGCTAACAGGCACCCTCTCAAGCCCAGGATCCAATGCTGTTTATTTAGAAAATTGGGGACGTGTTTTTACAAGGCAAAAAGTGAAAAGGTAACAGCCTCATGCTTTAATTAAGCAGGCAGTTCTTCATTTAGGGAAGAAAGTTGCGAGGCTGAAGGACAGGGGAGTACTAAGCTACAAATTGAAGAATACTTTGGGGAAAATTTAAAGAGGGAGCGTTACAGCCTTCACGTCAAGGTGCCTGTGTATCTGCAGGAGCAACTATCAGTTACTTTCTAGTTTTATTTATCCTTGTCTCTAAGCTGCTGATCTCTAACTAGACATTTCCCAGACTACTTTCTTATCTACCCTGGTGGACATTCCAACCCCTTTCTCCATCACAGACATGCATTGCAACAGGGGAGCTGAAACTCGGGACCATAACCCGCTTGAGATTTCAGGAGGAATGCCAGCCTGCGTTAGCTTTCGCTCCCAGTAAACCTAATGCAGTTTGCACGGTATCCAAGGCGTGCTTAAAAGCCTTCAAAATGCTATAAATAATCCCATTCATGCTGTTATCTAGTTCAGTGACACCTCTGATTTAAACCTGATTGACTAAATACACTAAACTGTGGTAACAGTGACATTATAGGTGATTATTTTCATACTGAAAAAATAATTTTAGTGACCTTATTGAAAGCATTTTCTCACAAACTGGTAACCAATAAACAGAGACAAGTCAGAGATTAGGGAATTCCATGCTGATTAAATTATTCTTAAGAAATGTCCTCATGAGAGTAGTTTGTGGTTAATGGATGACTAATGGCTGTGGGCAGCCTTTTCATAGGTTCATTATATGATAATATCGTAAGTTCTTGTTTGTGTGGCATAGGCTAATGATGTTTTCGTGGCAACTTTAATTTGTGTCATAAAAAGTAAAAATATTAGCTGCTTAATTCTCTGGGGTATTTCATAGAGATAAGTAGGAATGGATAGATTTGATGACATATATTTAAAGATGACATCTATTAAAAATAAGAGGAGGGGCTACTGAAGGCAATACCAAGAAATACCTGTTTCAGCATTATCCCAACATGGATGGCACAGCCTGTATAATTACTATAAGCCTCCGTTTCCTGTTATTTTCTTTTTTGAGAGGATAAAGGCAGGAGGAATAGCAATTAAACAAATAGCATTAGGTCTTAGACTTAGCAAGACAAAACCTTGAAAAGTAGAGCCTGGCTTATTGTAATGGAAACTTAGTTATGTATCCATAACTTAACTTTTTTCAGTGTGCATGGTAGTTGGTAAGAAATGATGATTGTTTTATAGTGGGTGTGTATTGACTTCAAATTAATAAAAGGTTATTGTTTGACATAAAAGAGAAATCAAAGAATTGTTACCAGTTCACCAATGAAATTAATTTTGTTGTTAATTCATTCTAAGCCTTTGAAATGGTGGTTTTTAGTATTAAGACCAAAAGGAGTAGATTTTTTTTTGTATCTCTTATGCCATTATTATCTTTAACTAGATTTCTCTTATCTTTCAAAGATTTAACTTTGGTCATCCATGTTATAAAAAAGAGTTTTATTAAATGTCATCCTTTATTATGTCTTTAGTTTGGGGAAGTTCTTTCTCCTCAAGACTTAGAAGGGGGTCATATTACTCTCAACAAAGAGTGACATGAAGAGTCTTTAAATTAATCAAGTTCATGTTTAAAGGGTGGAAAGGAATAAACACCTGAGAAGAATGCTGCTAAGCATCTCTTGTATATCTGTATCCGTATTGATATACAAGAGATACAATGTATAATGGCCTTTTATACAATTATCTCTTTCCATCCATCAGTCAGTTCCCTGTTGGTAGATGCGTATGGAGACATGTTTGCACTGTTGTTTACCAGTGTTAATATAGTATCTCTGTGTAATGGGATTTGAACAGTACTTTGGTTTGGTTGGGGTTTTTTGGTAGCTATCTAAATTATAACTTGTTTGTATATAATTGCTTATGTTTAAGTTGCCTCATCATGTTCTTTTCGGACTATACTTATTTAACTTTAGATAAGTAAAGAAGAAAACATTTTAGGTATTTCTTAGAAGCAACAACTAGGTTGTTGCAAGCTAATGCTTGACAAATAAAAACTCCCCATGTCTGTGCCAGTGTTAACATCTTTGCAGTTTTTTTGGCTGGGGCTGGGTTTGAACCCACTGCCTCCGGCACATGGGGCCAGCGCCTTACTCCTTTGAGCCACAGGCGCCACCCAGTGTTAACATCTTTAATGCTTCTGTTTATGCCACGGAACCCATCTCCATTGCCTGTGAAGTCAATATGCTGTTTTTATTTTACAGGATTTACAGAGTCATTTGAAGAAGTGTGGTGGGAAGTATGATCAGATTTTGGCTTTTCGACCTACAGGATGGACACACTCTAACAAGTTAACTAGTATAGCAGATGTTATTCCCAAGACCAAAGGAAACATTTCAATATATGGTATAATTATTAAACTGTCTCACATTTAATGTTTATAACTACTTTGCATATTTAAAGTTGAGATGCAAGAAAAGCGGGTTCCAAAGAATGTATCAAGTCAAGAGTTTTCAAATCTCTCTTCACCTCTAAACCTGTCTAGTTCATGGTAAACAGGTATGAAGGCGCTCGACTAGTACATAGCAGTACTTGTGTGATCTTTCACTTTCACTTGTGTGGTCAGTGATCCTTAGAATTGTAGAATTACTTGAAAGGAGCGGAGCTGTGGTGGCGCGGTGGGTGTGTACTGGCAGACATGGTGACGTGTTGAGATGGGGAGCAGGAAGTTGATGGACTAGCTGTGATGACAGCTGGAGACAGAGGCACAGACTCGACTAATGTGTTCAGCCCTCGGAGAGGAAGCCAGTGCCTCCAGCCTGGGCTTATCAAGGGCTGGCTGGTGGAAACATGCTTGGTATGTCACCAGGCGGGTGACTTAACCGCGACCTCTAAGAGCCTAGCTTTCTCAAAACAGGACCCTCTTCCTCCTTTTTTCTGTGATGCTTGATCTTCCATAAAGAAGACAAAGTGATTTTTAGGATTTTTTTCCTTTTTTTCTTTTTATTTTTAATGTGTGGAAAGCTTGGGGACTGGAATATACTTGTTTGCCTTGGAAATCAAGAGTCTCTTGCTTGTTACTCTTCACTTCTTAGTGTTTCTTCCAGATAGTCCTGAAGTCTGTAGCCGAGCAGTGTGTAAAGGGAAGAATCCTTCAAAGAAGAAAATGCTACTTAAATGGGACTCTCTAGAAATGCAATTACTGAGTGAATACGTGGAAAATAATACATTTTTTAATGTTTCATGTTTTATTTCATTTTACTGTTTCAGTCTTTTCTTAGCAGAACTCGGATGTCAAGGAGTTTGTTTTTAACAGAAATACTGTGGATTGCTTTTTTCTTTTACGTTTGTGAATTTTTTTTATTAGTTTGATTTTTAGTACATAATATCTTTTCTTTGGTGTCACAGGAATTCCTTACAGTGAACACAGCAGCTACCTTGAAATGAAGCGCTTTGTCCAGTGGCTGAAGCCCCAGAAAATCATTCCTACCGTAAATGTTGGCAACTTCAAATCTAGGAGCACAATGGAGAGATATTTCAAAGAGTGGAAATTGGAAGCTGGGTATTGATGATACCTCAGAAGATTCAGTAGTAGTTAAGTACCTTACACCTAGGTTCTTAGTAATTAAATCTGCAGCAATATGAAATACACCTTACATGTAAAACCTCACAAAGATTGCTCATGTAGGTTTTTTTTTTTTCCTCTTTTGTATTTGAATAACATGGTCATGGTGCAGAACATCTCCCAGCATCATCAGAAGTAACAGACCGGATCTCCCCAATAGCCCTTAATTCTTGCCCCCTCCCTTGGGAGGCAGTTGTGTTTTATTTTGCATCGAGCCTTGGTGGAAGACACAAAGGCAGGTTCAGGGACCAGAAGGATCCATGATAATCGATAGACTAGATTGAAACGTTATGTGTAAGGAATTATATGTCTTTAAAACTATGAGATAAAAATTTTATATGATATGTATTCTTAAATAAAAATTAATAGAAACTTTTTTCTAGTGTCTTTCATGGGGGTTTTTTGTTTTCTTTTAAATAGACTTCATTTTTTACAGAAGTTTTAAATTCTTGGCAAAGTAGAAGGCTCAGAGATTCCCCCTGTACCTGCTGCCCCCACACTTGTGCAGGCTTCCCCGGTATCCGCATCCCCCACCAGAGTGGTACATTTCTGTGAAGCTACATTGATAATCAATCAATTCTGGTACAATCAGTGAACCTACATTGATAATCACAGTCATCCTCAGTCTACAGCAGGGCCCATTCTTTTTGTTGTATGTTCTGTGGTTTGACAAATGTATGCTAACACATACCAACTTTTGTAATATACATTTCCCGGCCCTATAAACCCTCTGTGCTGTGCTTACTCTTTTGCTCTCACTCCATAACCCCAGCAACTAATGATCTTTTCTCCTGTCTCCATAGTTTGGCTTTTTCCAGAATACCACATCATTACAAACATATAGCAGGTAGCCTTTTTAAACTGGTTTCTTTCATTTAGTGTAATGTGCATGGAAGGTTCTTCCATGTGTTTTTATGGCTTGATAGCTCAGTCTCACTATGTCACCCTTGGTAGAGTGCATCATAGCTCACAGCAACCTCAAACTCTTGGGCTTAAGCAGTTCTCTTGCGTCAGCCTCCCAGTAGCTGCCTGGCTATTATTTTGTTGCAGTTGGCCCAGGCTGGGTTTGAACCCGCCAGCCTTGGCGTATGTGGGTGGTGATGTAACCACTGTGCTACGAGCACTTTTCTCTGCTAATTACTGTTCCATTGTCTGGATGTATCACACTTTGTCCACTCACTTACTGGAGGAGCAACAAACTTGGTTGCTTCCGAGTTTGGGTAATTATGAATAAAGTTGCTGTAAACATCCACATGCAGGTTTTTGTGTGGTAAATATCAAGGATTGAGATTGCTGTGCAATATGATTAAGAATATTTTTAGTTTTATAAGAAACTAACCGCCTTCCAAGTGGTTGCATTCCCGCCAACAGTGTGAGAAAGTTCCTCTTGTACTTCCTCACCAGCATTTGGTGCTGTCAGTATGTATGACAGTATTTATTTCGTTGCTGTTTTAATTTGCATTTCCCAAATAACATATGAGGTAGACCATCTCTTCATCTTTGTGTCTGCCATCTGTATTTCCTTGATGAGGTGTCTGTTCAGGTCTTTGGCTCACTTTTTAAGTGGATTGTTTTCTTGAGTTTTTTGTTTCTCTTTGTTGTGTTGAGAGAGAATCTTGCTATGTTGCCTAGGCTGGAGTGCAGTGGCTATTCACAGGCCTAATTATTGTGTACTATGGCTTCGACCTCCTAGCCTCAAGTGATCCTCTGCCCTCAGCCTCCCAAGTAGCTGGGACTATAGGAATGTACCACTTCACCCAGCTATTGTTGAATTTTAAGAGTTATTTGTATATTATGGATATTAGTCTTTTATCAGATGCATCTTTTATAAATATTTTTTCCCAGTATGACTTTTCTTTTTATTCTCTTGACCTTGTCTTTTGCAGAGCAGAAGTTTTTAATTTTAATGAAGTCCATCTTATTATTTCTTTCAGGAATCATGACTTTGGTGTTGTATTTAAAAACTCATAGCCATACCCAAGGTCATCTAGATTTTCTCCTATGATGTCTTCTACACTTTAGATCTATGATCCCTTTGAGTTAGATTTGTAAGGTCTGTGTTTAAATTTATTATTTGGCATGTGGCCGTCCGGTTGTTCCACTACTGCTTGTTGAGAAGACTGTCTTTTCTCTATTGCAGTGGTCTTTGTCAAGGATCCTGACTGTCTTCACGTGGGTCTATCTCTGGCGCTTCTGTTCCACTGAGTTATTTGTCCTTTTACCTATACTACACTCCTTTGCTTACCGTAGCTTTGTAGTAAATCTTAGGTACTGTCAGTTCTCCAACTTTGTTCTTCTTCAATATTCTGTTGACTTCTCTTGGCCTTTTGACTCTCCCTAGAAACTTAAGAATCAGTTTATTGCCATTTTGATTAGCATTGTGTTGAATCTGTAGATCAACTTTGGAAGAACTGACATCTTAGTAACATTAAGTCTTCCTATCCAGGAACGTGAAATATTTCCTTTTAGTTCTTTGATTTCTTTCATCAATATTGTAGTTTTTCTAATATAGATCTTGTACCCCTTTTGTTAGATTTATCCTTACGTATTTCACTTTGGGGGGTGTTAATGTAAATGGTGCTATGTTTTGAATTTCAAATTCCACTTGTTCATTGATGGTATATAGGAAGACAACTGACTTTTGTATATTAACTTTGTATCTTGAAACCTCTATATAATTGTTTGATTTTCTACATAATCATGTCGTCTGTGAACAAAGAGCTTTTATTTTTTGACTCCCAATCTGTGTACCTTTTATTTCCTTTTCTTGTCTTATTGTGTTAACTAGGACTTCAAATGTTGAAAAGGATTGATAAGATCCCAGGACATTCTTGCCTTATTTGTAATATTAGTGGGAATGCTTCTAGTTTCTTTCTTTTTTCTTTCTTTCTTTCTTTTTTTTTTTTTTTTGGAAGGGTTTTTTTGGCCGGGGCCGGAAGGGTTTTTTTTGTAGTTTGAACCCACCACCTCCGGCATATGGGGCCAGTGCCCTACTCCTTTGAGCCATAGGCACGGCCCCTTCCAGTTTCTCACCATTAGATATGATGTTAGCTGTAGAGTTTTTGTAGATATTTTTTATCAAGTTAAGGAAATGTTCTCCTCTGTTCTTGGTTTACTCAAAATAAAATTTTTTTTATCATGAAAGAGTTTTGGATTTTGTAAAATGCTTTTTCTGCACCTGTTGTTATGATCGCATGATTTTTTTCAACTTTTTGATGAGATGGATTATATTAATTGATTTTCAAACCAGCTTTGTATACTTGAGATAAATCCCACTTGATTGTGGTCTGTAATTCCTTATTTACACACTGTTGGATTCAATGTACTAATACTTTAGTGACAATTTTTGTATCTGCGTTCATAATAGGTACTTGTCTATAGTTTTCTTAAAATGTCTTTGTTTGGGCTTGGCGCCTGTGGCTCAAGTGGCTAAGGCTCCAGCCATGTATACCCAAGGTGGTGGGTTTGAATCCAGCCCAGTCCTGCCAAACAACAATGACGGCTGCAACCAAAAAATAGCCGGGCATTATGGTGGGCACCTGTGGTCCTACCTACTTGGGAGGTTGAGGCAGGAGACTTGCTTGAGCCCAGGAGCTGGAGGTTGCTGTGAGCTGTGATGTCACGGCACTCTACCCAGGGGAACAGCTTGAGGCTCCTGTTTCAAAAAAAAAAAAGTCTTTGTTTGATTTTGGTAATAGGGGTAATGCTGGCCTCTTGGAACAAATTAGGGAATATTCCCTCTGTTTCTATCTTCTGAAAGATTGTAGAGAATTGTTATAATTTTGTGCTGAAATGTTTTGTAGATTTCACCAGTAAACCCATTTGAGCCTAGTATTTTCTGTTTGAAAGATTATCCATTATTAATTCAATTTATTTAATAGATATGAGCCTATTCAGGTTGTCTGTTTCCTCTTATGTGAGTTTTGACAGGAGGTAGCTTTTGAAGAATTGGCCCATTTCATTGAGGTTATTACATTTCTTTTGGCTTCTAGGATTTATGACTATGACATTCATGAAATTTTGTACAATTCCAGTGAAAATAACTCAACATTTGGCTTTGCAGAAGATGATTCAAAGTACCTATCACCCGAAAAAGATTGCAGAAAAGTTTACAGGAATGGTTTTTATCTGAAGTATTTACTCAAAACATCAAAAGTTTAAATTGAAGGTTTTTTTTTATGAAGTGATATTGTATAATTTATTTATGGAACTTGATCTCCTCCACATAGATTGAGTAGTTGATCCAAGGTGAAAATTTTGGTCCACTGCATGTTAAAAATGTTTTATGTGATCTAAATTAAGAAAACAGCCAGTATAATGAGTGCTTAAAAGTGTATATGTATTTTTGTATTGCCATGAATAATGAAATTAATTTGGGGTTTTATTAATCATTGTTTTCATAGAAACATTCATAGAAATTTTTCAGTCATGATTTGAGTTACCAGAAGGATGGTATTTGCCAAGAATAAAAATTCACCCATTTTTATTTCACATGCTTGGATTTTAGTGTGTTGTGGAGATAAGAGTGGTAGGGATCACAGTTAGAAGAAAAGCTTTGGGGGAACACGGTGGCAATGTCTGTCTGTGCTCAGTTGACTTTAATTACAAATTTAAAATATTTTCAATTGTTTTGGTTGTCTTAAACGTGTCGTAAGTGATGAAGAGTTCTAATTAGGAAAACTTTATATCCATAGTCTGTAACTGTAGGTATTCTTAAAACAAGGGAGATGGGCAAGTCGTGTAGGCTCGTTTTCATTTATTGAGTAATAGTTTTTCCTAGATTTGCCATTTTTATTGGTAAAAGATTTTTTATGATTTTGAATGTCTTTGAAAATCCAGGCATGTTGGCTTAAGAGCTGGCTCAGCCTTTTTATTATCCTGTGAAAAAACATCTTTCTACACAAACATCACCATTTATGGCAGCTTGAAATGACTTTGTTTTGTTCCTATTGCCACAGAACACGCAAAACCTCATTTAGGGGTCATTCCAAATAGTTTCACAGATAAGTCACGGCCACAGCCAGGCTTTTCTAGGTTCTAGTGAGAACTGTACATGAAATTCTTGGTTCTAATACCTAACACTTTGGTAGGTAAAAATTTTCAAATTTACAGTGAAAAGAAATAAAAAGAAACCCACCCCCAACCCCAAACAGATGGATAGCAGCTCTTAATGTCCTAAAAAATGTGTAGAGAAGGGGAAGTATGATCAAGCCAACACAGGGGAAACGTATTAATTTCTATTTCTTTGGACCTTTTCAGAAAGCTTGTCTACAATTTTATCTGACATTGGATATTGTTATTACCAAGTGCAGTGACACTTGAAAGGCTGATTTCAAGT